CATTAGGTTTCTATAATTGAATTATTCTAAATATGATTCTTTAACGTCTTGATGTGTCTACATTCATTTGGATCCGGCTTAGAGCCTACGTACTTACTCTATTCCTTGAGTGTGGGTCTGAACTCACGAGAGTCAGTTCATTCAACTGATTCACGTGGTAAATAATGTTCGTCATATAGGGTATATTATTGTAATCGGTCTTATTCTATTCTGAAACTGGAGATCTCTATGTCTCGTTCCTACGTTCGTCCTCATTATGAAGAGGGCTGAACGTTCGGTATTTTATGTCCTTGGAATGGATGATGGAAATGATATTAAAGTGAAAGGGTGTACAAAGGGTTTACAAAAGGGTGTAAAAAAGGTGTACAAATGGTGTAAAAAATGTGTAGAAAGGGTGTAGAAATGTTGTAGAAAGGGTTTAGAAAGATTGTATAAAGGGCGTAGAAAGGGTGTAGAAATGATGTAAAAATTGTGCATAAAGGGTGTAAAGAAGGTGTAGAAAGGGTGTGTAAATGATATAGAAATGATTTAGAAAGAGTGTAGAAAGGTTGTACAAAGGGTGTAGAAAATTGTAGAAAAGATGTAGAAAAGTATAGAAAGGATGTAGAAAGGGTGTAGAAAAATGTAGGAAAGTTGTACACTATTTCTACACCCTTTCTACATCTTTTTACACATTTTCTACACTTTTTCTACAACTTTCTTCACCCTTTCTATAACCTTTCTACAGTCTTTCTACACCCTTTCTATACTCTTTCTGCACTCTTTCTGCACTCTTTCTACAACCTTTCTAAACCCTTTCTACACTCTTTCTAAACCATTTATACACCATTTCTACATCCTTTCTACATTCTTTCTACACACTTTCTACACCCTTTGTAAATCCTTTATACACCCTTTGTACACCATTCTACACTTTTCTACACCCTTTGTAAACCCTTTATACACATTTTCTACATCTTTCTAGAAAAAATGTGGATACACTATTTCTACACCCTTTCTAAGTCCAGGTTAGGGGTTCAGGTGGTCAGGAGGATTGGAGGGTCTAGGGGGTCCGAGGTCTAGGGTTAGCGGTCTGGGGTCGGATGATCTGAGGGGCAAATTGAAGAGTATTATTATAGTGTGGGTCACATTTTTTTAACGAAGTGGTACCATAGCTTTATGCTTTGAGTACCGAGAAAAAAAAGGAAGGGGAGAGAGTCAAACAACGTGATGGAAACAGTGAGTGCTTAAGTGTTTTGTGAGAGAGATGACAAAGGTTGTCAATGGTATAAGTGTGCCACAACTCATAAAACCAATTATGATAATTTGTGCCTACAAATAAAGGCATTATGGAGATCCCAAAACATTTGGGATATGATGGAAGATGGGTACGTTGAACCCGATGGTGATGAACATCAGACGGTGGCACAGATGACTGTGTTGAAGAAATCACATGCAAGAGATGGGTAAGCATTGTATTTTCTCTACAATGCAGTAGATGAGTCGGGATTCTAAAAAATAGTGAATGTCGTATCAACAAAGGAAGCCTAGGAGACATCAGAGGTTGCGTATAAAGGTGACAATCACATATGACAAGTCTGAATACAAGCTCTCAAAGGAGAGTTTGAACAATTGAGGATGGGACCCAAAGAGCATGTAACCGAGTACATAACTCGGATGAAGAAGGCGGTCAACCAACCCGGCAGGAATGGAGAACAAATGCCACATAACCGGGTTGTGGGAAAAATCTTGCGATCACTCACATAATATTTCGAAAGTATCGTGTGTGCCATTGAAGAATCAAAGGACTTGTCAGTTCTCATAGTAGATGAACTTGTTGGGTCATTAAAAGCCCACGAACAAAGGAGAAGAAGTTGGGATGATCGAGTTAAACCTCTCGACCAAGAACTACATGTACAGTTTGACTCGAATGAAACTTGAAATACTAAGAGCTGAGGTCCTAGAGGCAGAGGACGAGAAGGTTGAGGATGAGGTGGACGTGACCGAGGTAATTTTTAGGATGACAGTGAAGAACAAATCGATCATCAGAATTAGCGTGACCGAGGACAAGAGAAAGGCCGAGGAGATCAGTCAAGAGTTGAGTGTTTTAAGTGTGGCAAGCATGACTACTATGTGAACAAGTGCAAATCGAGGAAGTGCTACAATTGTGTAAAGGCTGACCACATTGCAAAGTACTGCAAGGTTAAGACAAAGGGGGAGACAAATCTCCTTACTAAAGATGCGAAAGAAGAGTGTGGAATCTTGTTGATGGCAAAGAGCTCAGATGTATGAAGTATGTACATGGATAGCTTGGTTCCAACAATGGATGAAGTGATCTCGGTAAATGATGAGACAAATGTGTAGAAGGAAAACCTAGAGAAGAAACTCAAACAAAAAGATGAAGAGATTCAACATATAGGAAAGCTTCTTGATGAAGCTAATGAGATTATGAATAAATAGAGGGCTGAACTTGAGAAACTAAAGAAGGTGGTTGTTGACAAGGAGGAGGAAGCATCTAGTGTTCTTTCACATGACGAAAACGTGAAAGATGAAGATGGTGAGAAGAACCAGGGTATGATAAGCTCAGATACTAAGATATCAAAAAATATGATGAACAAAATTTCAAACAAAATGGAAAAGTCGATCAAGATTGTTGAAAAATCGTCTAAAATTCGAAACGAGTTGGTCTACAGAACTTCCATTTAAAATGTTTTGAACTAAAATCTAGTTTCACACTACTTCAATTTTAAAATTGCTTTAAACTAAAATCATAGCCTCTCAACAAAATTTTTTTTTAGTGAAGTCATGTCATTGACATACTTTATCCACTTTCGTAATTTTTAAAAATCTGTCCATTTTTGTAATTTAAAAAAAGAATTACACCAAAATGGTTCTTTTGCCTTGGTTATATTTTACGTAAAATTATTAACAATTTAATGATTGTGTGTGCGTGTTTGTGGTCGGCGTGTGTTTTTTTTTTTGCATGCACTGATGGGACTTGAACAGTGGGTTATAGGCTCCAATTAGGGTTGTTAAAAAAATTACGCTTAACCAAATTAATATACTGAACAGAATTTCAATTGTATAAAACAAACATAGTTTTTTTAAAATAATTACCCTGTATTATTGTATTAATTTAAATTTTTAAAAATTGAATTCTAAAATATAAGTACTTGAAGTGAATTATAACTGAGATTGTGGTTTAGTTTAGTTTTATGATAACATCTCTACTTGCGACAGTCACATCAAAAGCAAGAGAAATAAATATGAAAATAAGAGGGGTTTGACAGACTTGGTAATTAAGTTGGATAGTGAGAAAAAATGAAAATGTAGAGAAATGACATTGCATACCACACAAAGCTTCCAACTACCGATATGGGTGGAATTTGTTCTTATTTTATTCAATTCCTTGTAGCTAGCAAGACCAAGTGAAGAAAGTCAATTACTCTTCTTTACCATTCTTGTTTTCCCCAGCTTTCAGAAACCGTGAAAACCAATACGCAGATGATTTAGGGTGTCTGCTGAGTCCATTTTTATAGTCTACATATACCAATCCAAAGCGTTTGGTATAACCTTGAGCCCATTCAAAGTTGTCCAGTAAAGACCATGCAAAGTAGCCCCTCACATCTACTCCATCCCTGTGCATTCAAATCATACACAAAACTTAAGTTTCTTAAGAGTCAACTCAAAATCTCAGTCAGACTACAAGGTCAAGTTTGGTTGTTGTGCTGATTTCAGAAAAATATAGCATATAAGTATGCTGATATAAAAAAAAATACAAATTTAAAAAGAATCACTAAAATGTATAAATGATAACAAAAGCACAAACACACACCATTTTAATCTCACAAAAAACAGATGGAAAATAATCAATATCTCATACTAGAATATCACACTTCATACTTTCAATCTCATAATTAAATCTTATTCATCAAGAGAAAGAGGAGTCAGTTAAGAATGGCAATCCCTTCAAACGGATCACCTTCATTTCTACCAATACCTCAGTTCTCTCTTTCATCAGATGAGACGGAGATTTATATCCATCAAACTTAGATCAACTTAGTGGGAGTGTATAGGTCTCGTACGTTGCCAAGTAGCACTCAAATTAAGTATCTGTTTTTTTAAACTGGCTACTTTTGGTTTGGATCATTTAAGTACCCAATTGTATTCAATACTGCTACGTACCTATTTGGTGATGAAATTAAATGTACCTTTTTTTTTTCAAATTCAATTTCATTGTTTTTTGAAAAAACTGTATGGGAAAGATCCTGTTTAGGGTTCTTTCTATTCTCAAGTATACCTTATTGTATGAAAATCGTGGTAATAAAGGAAAGGGTGAAGGATATACAAGAAAAGTACATACAATTTCAATAAGTACTTTTGTGTGCTAACCTTTTTATCAATCATTAACTTCTCAAAGATATACGAACAAGACAAGAATAAAAACTTAAATGCAAGAAAATCGAACATGGCATAACAATATGAAGTAAAATGTGGTCATTAGGCATCAATCACGACATAAGATGCGTCTAGCTACGAGATTTGTCGTTAGTTGGTGAAATAAAAAGGTTTAATTGAAGCAGATGGCTTGTATGTAGAAAGTGGCAAACTCACTTTATAGCCTGAGCAACTGATGCAAGATATCCCTTGAAATAGCGAACTCTAAGTTTGTCATCTAGCATCTCATGTAGCGGCGAGTCATCACTATCTTCGTCATCCATACCTGCCAAAGAGAATTCCGGCCTCAGATAGAAGAGAACGGTTTTATAATGTACTCGTACACATTAATATTTTTATGTATCAAACAATTCTGAATTGCCGCTATATAGTCAAAGATTCTTTCTTGGCATTTTTTTCATTAGTTGTTTATATATCTGTTTTCTTGCCAAACTTATAGGAAGGATAAGTATAGTTACGTACCGTTCTCTGTCACAAATATGGGAGTAGCATATTTTTGTGATACGTAATTGAGAACCTTCCGAAGACCCCAGGGAACAACATAAAGCCACTCTGATGCTGCCTGTTACACAATAAAAAGAAATATTTTCTTTTGCTAAATACAGGCTAATAGTATTTGATGATAGTTAAGCCCACCAACAATGTGATTGATTGTTCACAAATTTTAGACACCTAATTCTTATTAGTTGGAGAAAGAGTGTGAGCCTAATCTTACAACAAGCACATTGAATGAGGGAGAATACACACCTTCTCACCTATGGTCTCGCCACCTTCCCATTCCACTAATGACAGGAAGCACACGTGTCAAGGAGAATTCATTCTGGAAGATATTTTAGAAAATGAGAAAATTTTCCAATTATTACCAGTCCTTTTTGTCTCCTGCACCTTGTAGTAGTAGTTTCCTCCAGCGCTTTCTGTCACGTGAGAAATAAACCTTGACGTATAGTGATTTAGACCAATAAAGTCCAATTTATTCAAGAGAAGTTTCTTGTCCTCCTCAGAGAACTTGGGAAGTTGGTCTCCAAGTCGTTCACGCATAGACTCAGGATAGTCTCCGAAATACAGTGGATGCAAGTACCTGGGTTCAAATCATATTTTAGCAAAAGCATGCATCTCATACCAAGGCTAGATATGACTTCACCAGAAAACCTATGCAAGCCTCATATCCTACTTTCTGTTGTTCTCTTCAGTTTTCATTTTTCTTATTGCTAATATTGTGTGCAAACGATCATCCATAGTATTTTGGGAATGAAGGTGAGATTATATATGTGGGTACAAGTGGGATAGACAGGGTTACAACAAGACAAGAAACGACTTCGGTTCATCAGGAACCGAGGTATAATCCTACCATTTTATGCCTCGGTCCTTAACCGAGTCATAAAGTCAACCACTTTTTGCCTCGCCTGAATATGCCTCGGTTCAGGAACTAGTGTCGTTTCCCCTAGCTACACTAGTGTAAACCCTTAACTCTCAACCTTAAACCTTTAAGTGAACCATAAACCTTGAACCTAAACCCTAAAACTTAAACCCTACACTCTAAACCATAAACCATTCATCCTACACCCAACACACTACACCCTAAACTCTAACCCATAAACCCTATAGCAGCAAAAGCTTTCTGTAGAAAACGATCGTTTTCCACTATGAATGATTGATTACAAGTAAACAGCTGTACACAGGCCAGGAAACTGAAAAAAAAGGAAAAAAATACCACAAACAAAAAAACTCAATATCCAAAAAAACAATTTGCTAACTATAATTTTCTCAATTGACTTGCGTCTTCCTTTCATATTCTTGATAACCAAAATTGGACTCTTGGATACTAGTATATAGAACTGGATCAAAAATTGAAGATATTCGGTCCATGAAAATAGGATAAATAGTTTTAGTCCTCTAAATGCTTTTTTTAAAAAAAGTTCTAGACCGTCAAATGTAGAAAAATATGTTTTTAGTCCCTAAAAACTAAATTTGAGGGATTAAAATAATTTTTTTAAAACTCTTTAATACTTCAAATTTATTGTTAAGGAACTAAAATCACTTTCTTTTTTGAAATTTAAGGGACTAAACTGAAATTTTTTAATTTGAGAGATAAAAATAGAATTCAACCTGTATTTAAGGAACTAAAATGTAATTAAACCACATAATAATATGAAACAAATGCACAAGGAACTACCAGCCAATCTGAAAATCCAGGCGCCTTGCTGCAGCAGATTTATCTTCAATCTTATCAGAATTAGCTTCTGCCCATTCACAATCTACCACGATGCCCACTTGTCCCCCTTGTTTTTCCTAGATCATCAAGAACTAGAAAGAATAAAATTTTACCTTCCAAACATTTTTTTAGTGTGGTCAGAGCATTAAATTATTGATGAACAAAATTCACGGATAATTTGGATATATGGATCGATCAACTGCACTGGTCTCCACCAAAATCCACCTTTTCACTCCAACACTTTTTTGTATGCTTTCTACTAATACTTTATTAGATCAGATCATATGCATATAATTTAAATACATAAAATCAAGTTAGAAAAATAGAAAAATAGGCAAGTAAATGAAAATCAACAAAATACACAGGGGAGGGAGGAGTGAGGAAAGCATCATATTAAAATAAATAGTGCACAAAATAAAAGTAATCCAACTTGTAAATACAATTTTCGTGTAGAAATAAATGAGTACCGCTGTGTACCTTGTACTTGTTTCGGTATATGGAAACAGCTGCTGCATGGGCTAAAATTTGATGGTGTGCTGCCAAATATGGCTCTATACGAGCATTCTCACGTCTTCCTGGAGCAAAAATTGCAGTATCATATCCATTGACCGCAGTTTGAAGTGGCTCATTAACAGTCATCCAGTTCTTCACTCTATCACCAAAACTAGCAAAGCAAGTGTCTGCATAAACAGCAAAATACTCTCTGGCAAGTGCCACATCAGAACCACACCATTCAATAATAGAATATTGAAAATCAATCCTTAAGATGACAAAAGCTGGGCTTTATGAGAGCATAATGGGTCAAAAACAGCATTAGGTATTCAAGGCCACTAGAATAAATATACAACATCGAATGTAAATTAGTTGACTCAAACCAGGTTCTCGAAGTTCAGGCTTGTGTAAAAATTAAGTGTCCATGAGCCTATTTACTTAGCAAGACATTCAGCAATCCGTAAATCATTCTTGATGATTGATTTTAACTCAGATCGAAGATGTCTCAATTTAGCATTCACGGGAGAGGAAGAACTTATAAATACCCTGCCAACTTTGCCAAGAATGAAAGCAGTAGACCACTTAAGGTGGCACTGTGTTAGGATATGGGGTGGCAGGGTATAATGGGTAATGGGTTTACAGTGTTGATTCTTGTTTGTGTGTGTGATTGGGTTGTCTTAGTTAGGTTTCTAACTCAGAAACCTAACACACTGTTTCAGAAATTGTTGAGAACAGACATTCGAAGAGCAAGGAGTCATGTTGCTCCCATGCCGAATATACTGGATTAACAGTATCAAAGTCATGATCATGCTCGGAGAAAGACTGGAATGGAGGGAATGACAATAAATTTAAGGAGCTCTTAGCCTGTGATCACCCTCTACTTGCTGCTTCCATGAAACAATCTTTAGGATCTCATTTGTGTGAGAAAAAAGGAAGTAGATATAGAATAGTCCAGAGTCAGGGAAAACATGTTTCAAGATCAAAGAGAAGTTCTTGAAACCATTGTTATATGCACAGATATCAGGATCATATCTTTAGAATTACTGATATCAGGGTCATATCAAGATCATGTGTATATTATTAGTGGGGTTTCTAGGATTATATTTTTAATATTAAAAAGTATCAAGTCTCCTCTATTTATTGTATTCGTTTCTTTTTCTCTAAAAAAAATGACCTATGCTATCACGTATCAACATGTTTTTTAGCTCAATTTCTCGTTTTTTTATCCTTTGACATAGTACCTATAGCCTCTTAAAAATTGTGTTGGCTCCTCGAACCCATGTTTTGCAGAGATTTTTTTTTTTTGTGAAAACATTTGTTTCTTCAAAGGTTCGCTAATTATTCCAGCTACTTTTCCAATGACATTTTTACTCAGCAACCACAAGGTTGGGATCATGTCTGTACAAAAAACAACCCTCACACTCACCCTCAAGTGCGTGCTCTCTAAAAACAAATATGAATTCCTTGCCGGTGCATGGGCGACACTTGAGGACTAACCACCCCTACCTAAATGTTCCTCCTCCAAGCGATCATAACTGTGTAGCTTTGGCTCCATCAGATTCTGAAAAATGGCTTCCAGCGAAAGCTCTTCATCTAGAACAGATTCCTACATCTTTTCTAGCCATATCATTAGTATTGAGAAGATGGACAAGTCTAACTATTTCTCTTAGACTTCCGAAATCGGGTCATGGTTCAATGGGTGGAGTCACAAATCCGATTTCAATACATCCCAACAAATGAACAAAAACAATGGACAAAGACTGATACTCCATTGTGCAGTGTTCTCAAGTCTAGTATCCACATGTTACTCACCTATTTTTCGTCCTCATGAGATGTGTACATCAGTTTGGAGAGAGGCATGTACTCTCTATACTAATGACACCAAACCTTTGCACAAAATTTGTCAAGACCTATTGATAGTAGTTACTCCATGATGATTTGATGGCCTTACGTATGCTTAGTTTGGTTGGATTCATGTTGCCTTAAATGATTTTCATTAGTTCCTACCACCTACAAATGTAAAGGAGTTGAGAACCGCATACACTTGTTATGACCTTAGCCTCGTATGGCTTACCTCAAGAGTATATGTTAGGTTTCTAGGTAAGAAACCAAACCAGACAGCCACTCACACACTCTCTACTCACACAGATAAAAAAAGAATGGGTTTCTTGTATTCAACACTGGTAAGATACAATGTACAAGCAATCAATGGGAGCCTAACCTCCCCGTCATAACCAATGGTTTCTGTCAAAGCAACTTTTGTCAAAAGTCGCCTAACAAAAGAATAGAATTCTATTTATACAAGTCACTTCCCGCCCATCCTAACTGCTAAAGCAGTTAGGATATTAACTCTTCTTTATATTCTACACCCCTTATATCCTATCATTACACCCCTACTTGTGATTGGATTTTGTGATCACCAAGGAACCATGAATTCTTCCTCTTCTAGACAATACTCCTAAAAATAAACAGGGAGAACATATCTCTTCAACTAGGGACTCTTCTGCATTTGCCTCACAGAGGACTAATTATGGGTGCTTTCAAACAAGTAATTCTAAAAATCATTTAAAATGAGAGCATTTTCACAACAATAGCCATACAATTGATAAGTGTTGGACATTGCACAAGAAACCTCCTTGTTCGACCAATATTATTGATGCATCTATTAATGAGCCATTGTTGCCTGTGCATTGCCAGCTGATCAACCTTGTATGTCTCCTGCAACATATGAGAACTTTCTCCAATGGTGTGAGAATCACCAAATTGCTAATAACACTGTTTTGGTAGCACACTTATAAATCATCCACTTGTCTCTCTATTGGATTAGCAAAAATAACAAACAAGAAAATGAAAGAACAAGAATGTCTCAAGTAGATGGTCTTCCATTCCTTTCTATCAAACGAAGTCATTGTCTCACTAAACTCTTTAACAGAGCATTTTATAAACATGATTTAGAGCCAATCATCACAATTCTTCACCTTGACTTTAGATCATGGAAGAGATTTGTTCATCATCTCCTTGTTCCTCAATGAAAAACTAATCTACTCCAAATACCGTTTGAACTTCAAGACTATCTTTTTTATTCTAACCTTCCCAGACTCAACAATGTCTCGCACAAAGTGTAGTCTAACGTTTATGTATTAGGTTCTCTTATGGTAGATTTGATGATCAATTAGATGAATAGCACTTTGACTATCATAGTGAATAGTCATACAATACTGCACAATACCTAGTTCTCCATCATCCCCTTCAATCACAATGCCTCCTTTACCCCCTTGGTAAGCAAAATATACTCTGCCTGGGAGTAAACAAGGCCACAACAGATTGCAAGTTGGTCTCCCAACTAATTGTAGTTCCAAATAATGTAGACACATACCCAGAAATAGATTTTATTGTACCAACATAACCTACTTAGTTAGCATCAATAAACCCCTCTATAGTAGTTATGCTATGAGTAGAATGCCTATACACTAGACCAAACAATGTTGTTCCATTTAGATATCTCAGCATTCACTTCAAAGCCTCCCAATGAGCTTGTCATGGTTGTCATGAACCTGCTAACTACACTAATAACATGTGCCTAATTCGGTCTGCTATAGACCACTCATACACAATACTTCCTACTCCATTAGCATATGGAATAATCTTCATCTCCCTCTTTAAAAGAGCTTGGGCAATTGAGAGCTTTGCATAATGTCCTAAAGATATTCTCATAGGTTTAGATTCATGCATCCTAAACCTCTCAACCATCTTCTACAAGATAGACACAATATCCCAATTGTATGATCCCTCTATATGTCCATCCCGTGCTTCGCAAGACCTAGATCCTTCTTTCAAACTTCAAGCTCGATTTTTGTTTGAGCTCCTTCAATTCATTTTTATTACAGTTGGCTATTAGAATATCGTCTATATGTAAGAGAAAGAACAACACAAACCTTTCTTCTGTTATGAGGATGTAGACATAACTATCACAATTGCTCCTTTGGAACCCTCTCTGCCTTGAGAAATCACCACATATCTTGTACCACTTCCTCAGACTCTGTTGCAATCCATACAATGACTTCTTCAAGAGACACATTTTTCCCTTCTCTTCAACAAACCTTTCAGGTTGTTGCATGTAAACAATTTCCTCCAAGATACCATGTAGAAAAGTTGTCTTAACGTCTAAATGTTCCAATACCATATTATACTAGTTAACATACCATGTTATAGAGTTAAAGTTTTCTGTATATAGAGGTTGATGTACTGTTTCAAATTAATCAATTGAATAAAAAATCTTCTTTCTTTCAAATTAACCTTTCTAGTATACTTTTATTAACACAGAGAGCTTCACAAGATACATTGTACAATATATACACTCAATGGTCTCTATATAAAAACCAAGAGCCAAAAGAAAAAAGAAAAAACATTAAAAGGAAAACCATTAAGACAATTACAGAAAGAGGCACTAGACGTTCTAACTAGTTAACACTATTAGATTATCTCTAGTGAATGATCTTCTATTCCCTTCTATCAAACAATGTAATCACCCAAATGAGCTCTTCAACAAAGCATTTGTTGAACATGATTTAGAGCCAATCACACTTAATCTCCTTCCTTGGGCTTTAAGTCATTGACTCTGGACCAATCGATTATATATCTTGTAATCATTATCTTTTCTCTTCCCTTAGTACTTTTCACAATTTGTTCATTTATTTTCTATTACCATTGTCAATGGTTCACAAACACAAGCTTACGACATTGGCATTACCCATCCCCTTTCATCTCTTACAGTTGACTGTGTTCTCTATGTACCTAACTGCCCATTTAATTTACTATTTGTCACTTGCTTGACTGAATCTTGTGACATTATCTTCAATTTCACTAAAAATACTTGTTATGAAGTAAATTTTAAGCCTAACTCACCCCACAAAACCGACTTGTAAGGTGAGGTTTGTACCCACTTATATACTCTAAATTAGTCTTATGTCTAGTCAATGTGGAACTTCCAACAATACTATTACTTTGCATGATTAAATATCAGGATAGACAATTGGCATCATGTAAGTTGCATGTCCTGTATTATCTTTCTCCTTCAACACATGTTTGTACATCTACTATTTATCTAATGGTCAGTCATGCACAATTAGAACATCCCGGGTTGACCAAATTGTAGAAGACAATGTGAAGTTTAAAAGAACTATCTAATTTGAATTGTTAGTTGTGACAATTAGGTAAAAAGATTTTGCAATCTTTTTCTGATAACAATAATTAACAAGTTTTGTATCATTTCTCTTTAGTTCACAATATTTGGGTTCTTTCTTGTATTGTTACTCCTACTGGTTTCTTCTTCACAGTCATGTTCCTCATCACTTTCTAGGATATTACTCTGACAAAATGTTATTTTATTAATCAAATCTCATCATACTTCCTTAATTATTAGGTACCTGACCTTTTTTCAACTTGATATCAAGAATGCATTTTCCCATAGGAATCTTAATGAACTCTACATGAAGCATTGTTACGTATCT